AAAAAAAAAAAAAAAGTAACTTAAAAAATAAAAGCAATAGTGGCAAGAAAAAAATAAATTTAAATCCACCATAAGCAAGGTCAGAAGACAAATGAAAAACCTGGAAAATAATTTTGCAAATCAGAGGTAAAGGTCTTACTGCCTTCTTTATAGAGCACCTAAAGATCAATAAGCAAAGACCAATAATCCAATAGTCAAACAGGCAAAATATATAAGCAAATAGTTCACAGAACAGGAAATACCAGCTCTGCAGCTATAACATATGCTCCACAAAATAATGCTCATTTTTCAAAACATAAAAGAAAGGGCATATAAATAAAAAGGAATAAACAAATCTAACCAGAGGGCCTTGCATAGATCAGTGACAACAGTGTGCCCAAGCTGAGCATTTATGATTTGCTCAATAGCCTGCACTGAAGGTCAAGATCAGGGGTGGTAGTGGGATGTTTAGTTTCCCCATGAAAAATCTCAAGTGACAACATTTGAGAGATCATCTTCACCTCACAGACTGGCCAAGGTCAAAGGTGAAAATAGAGCCAGGCACAGTGATGCGTGCCTGAAATTCAAGCGACTCAGGAGGCCAAGGCAGGAGGATCACTTAAGCCCCAGAATTTCAGGATCACTTGAGCAACATAACCAGATCATGTCTCCAAGAAAAAAAAAAAAAAGTGACAACACACAATGTTGGCAAGGATGTGTGAAACATCAACTAATCCTATCTTTTAAGAAGTAGAGACCAATATAAAAATACAACTTTGATCTCTTGAGCAAACAACTCCTGAGATGATCTTCCAGCCTTTGTGTGAGATGATGTGAATGCTTATTACTAACAACAACAACAAAAGAAGTGGTGGTACACATCTGTAATACTAGCTGCCCAGGAGTCTGAGGCAGGAAGATTGCAAGTTTGAGGCCAGCCTGGGCAACTCAGTGAGACTCGGTCTCAAGATAAAATAAGAGCAGGTGGTGTAGCTGAGTGGTAGAGCACTTGCCTGGTATGCCCAAGGCCGTGGGTTCCATCCCCAGCATGAAAGAAAGAAGAAAGAAAGAAAGGAAGGAAGGAAGGAAGTCGGTCTTTATATGTTGACAGGAAACTATCTCAAAAATTTGTAGGGCGGGAGTTATGGCTCAGTGGTAGAGCACTTGCCTAGCACATGTGAGATACTGGGTTCGATCCTCAGCACCACTTAATAA